GGGGGGGTTGGTGGGTAGGGGGGCGCATTGAGGAACCTGGCCTTGGGGCCAGCGGAGAGAGTAAATCCAGCCCCGGTGACGTCACTGCGCTTGTATTTCATGTGGATCTGCAAGCCCCCCTGCTTGGTGAGAAGAGCCCCACGATACAGGTGAGTGGGGGGAAACAGAGACAGGCCGGGGTGTCACCATGTTTCATGTTACACCCTGATATGGGTGTAACATGAAACATGGCTTTGAGGGCCCATTTCCATCATAGTGTTGCGTGAATTGTGCAATACTGTCTGAATACTGGACCAGTGAGGGGGGGGGGAATCCCTGCAGGGAGCCGTGAGTGACAGTCACGGCTCTCTGCAGGGATAGATCGAGAAGTGAGCGATCGCCGGTATGTGTTCTCTCACTTCCCGATCTACCGAGCCGACCTGTGACAGTCTCATTGTCACAGGTCGGCTTAGATTATGAGGCTGAGTTCTCCTTTAAGCCAGTACAATTTTGTTGTAAAGAACATCATTTTCAGAATGTCTGTTTGATTTTTTAATAGTTAATGGGGTCAGATGGACGATCGTTTCTACCGCAGCAAGGAAAAAAAATCGAAGAAGCAGGATGGAAACATTTTCTCCAGTCAACAAAGTTCTAACAGTGACAGTGAAAAAAGTTTTCCGTCGGGAAACTCTATTCATTCCAAAATCGAATGTTAAAATGTCACATGCGGCTCTGCGTACAATCTTTGAGAACTTGCAAACTGTCACATAAGACATTTTTATTGCACAGAAATACATTTAATTAGAGCTACATCTCTGCTTTAAAGTAAAACTGAAGCCCAAACTTTTTTTTTTTTTTAGTTTTTTATTATAACCCCTGTCAGCTTTTTTTTTTTTTGTTCTCTCTGTTTCCCATTGGGGAGATTTATGATAACTTCCTGTCTGATATCCACAACAGAAAGTAGGGATGCACTGATACCGATTCTAGTATCAGTATCGGTGCCAATACCGAGTATTTGGGCGAGTACTGGTATTTGCCCAAATGCTCCGATACCTTACCCCGATACCGGAACTTCCGGCCAGAGGGAGATTTCCTCTGACCGGCAGTGCCGCGAAGAAACATGGAGCCGCCTTCCCGACCAATTAGGAAGCCAGCGACAGGTAATGACTCTCCGCTCGTCTTCCCGGGAAGCCGTTTCCATGCTGCTTTGGCCGGCTCAATGCTGATAGGCTGGAAAGCTGACTTTACAGCCAATCAGCTTTGATCAGCATGAAGCCAGCTTCCCGGCCAATCAGGAAGCCGGGCGGCAGATAATGACCAGCCTCCTGGCTTCATGCTTGACCCGAAAGGCGACTCCATGCCGATTGGCTGGAGAGCTGGCTTCCTGGCCAATCAGCATCAAGTTGGCCAAACAGCATGGAGCCAGCTTCCCGGCCGAACAGGAAGCCGGGCGGTGGGTAATGACCTGCCTCCTAGCTTCTTGATTGGCCAGGAAGCCGGCTCTATGGCTTCCCAGCCAATTAACATAGAGCAAGCCAAACAGCATGGAGCCGGTTTCCTGGGCAATCAAGAAGGCGGCAGGCAGGTAATTGTTGCCTGGGATGCCGGCTCCATGCTACCGAAAGTACCGGTATCGGTCCTCAGTATAGGCGCGTACCGAAAGATAAATATCAGTGCTCATACTTAATACTGAAAAAACAGTATTGGTGCATCCCTAACAGGAAGTAAGAGAAAATTCCTTCAAAGTGAAAGCAATCCCTGGTGATCACAAGGCTAGTGTCCCCACTGGAACATTTTCCATCTATCCCTGTTAGAAATATATGTACAGTACATATATTACTAAAGCTGAGGCTCCCAGACCCAAATGGCATTCGGGAGCTCCCAAAGAATGCCATTCGGGTCTGGGAGCCATATACATATATTACTAAAGCTGAGGCTCCCAGACCCAAATGGCATTCTTTGGGAGCTCCCGAATGCAATTTGGAAATTCGGATCCCAAATGCCTTTCAGGTCTGGGAGCCTCAGCTTTAGTATTATATGTATATACTGTATATGGCTCCCATGTTGCCTTAAACGAAAATTCATATTCAGACCCATTCGGATGCATTTAACCGAAAAACACATCTGATTGGCCAGAAAAGTCACATGTCCGATTCAGTTTAGTTTTTGAATGAAATTTGGACGGGATCCGAAATTCGCAAATGGAGATTCGGACGCATTCGGATGCATTGGTATTCAGAAATTCAGATGTGTCCGAATGTTTGAATTTTCCGGAAAATTTGTACAAATTTTGATTCGGAACGATCCAACCAAAACAGGGCAGACGCGAAAAACAAAATATCAACCAGGGGGAAAAAAAATCTACATCTTGATTCCTTTCCATTGTATCTCAGAAAATGTATACCGCCATCTATCATTAAACCCGACAGCAACGCGGAGGGCGTTTTTGTTTCTGACATGACATGCGAAAAGATTTAGAATCCAAGCGTGGCTTATTATTTATTAAAATTTACAGCTCTGTCCCCGAGGGCTCGTCAGGTTCCGTGCAAATCTTCCAACAACAGTAGGGAGCAGCGGTAAGCGCAGAGATCCGCTTAATTTGAGCGCTCGACGAACCATACATCAGCTGTCCTTGATTTCTTGGAGGAACGGTGTCTGATTAATTGTTTCGAAAAACATATACAGATCGCTTTGCCTCCTTCAAGAGTTATTGGAGGAAGCCAGAAAACGCCGGACCACACAGCAGCGGTAAATTAGGTAAAGACAGGAGACGCTGTTTACTTTGGACTCCATAAAACTTAATGCCGCCAGGCAATTTTGACTTGTGTTTATTTGGTAGCTTTCTACATGAGGGGAGTTTTCACCAAGAAGAGTAACTGAATATACTCACTATGAAGGTAAAACTCTTCTTCTGTTAAAGCCTTAAGACAGTCAAAACTAGAGAGAGCGGGAAAAAGTTGGAATTTCCGTCAGGTTTTAAAGCTAAACTCCGAGCACGAAAAACATTGTTTCAATAAATTTGTCAGTAGGCACAGAAGATATAATATATATACTATAAACACCACTCACTGTGCTTTACATAGCCTGTGCAGGGAGCAGAGCTGTGGGAGGAACCCAGCAGGCCCCACTCAGTACAGGCTGCCTGCAGAAAACTACAGGGGGGGGGGGGGCGTGGAGAAAAGACCAATCACCCTGCACAAGGAGAGAGCAGCAGTGAGCGATCTTTATTATAGGAGGGGG